TCTATTCTATTCTATTCTATTCTATTCTATTCTATTCTATTCTATTTAAAATACTTGTGCCATTATGGATATATCATGATATCTTCAGACCTTTTCCCTCACCCCAAAATTTTGCAAAAAGTCTATTGCTGCTTTCTATCTAGGCTGAAGTTAAGTAGGGCATTCTCACATGAATTTTCTCATAATAGGGATTCTATTATGCTGCAGGATTTCTGTGCAACACCAAACCATGGTTCAACCTCCTTCCACAAGTTATTTTCAGGACACTTTCTTTGCTGGTCTGGTCATCTTGTCTGGGGATGTATCTTTGGTCACTGCCCATGTTTTCTAGAATCATCTAAGTCTCACTGACCTTCTTCATTCTTAAGATACAGCATCTTAGAAAATGTCCATCTTGAGCCTCCTTCAGATTTGTGATTCCACCCACTGCGGGCCTAGCTATATTCCATTCATCAGTCAAAGATGTCCTAGGATCATATAGCTTTAAAAATAGAGAAGTTCGGGAATGACAGAATTGGAACGTGCCCCATGGGATTCTTTTCACGCATTTTCACAATTTAACTCTGCTTCAGTTTAGGAATCTATATATATCAAAGTGACATGCATGAGTGAAACACGCATCATCACAAAATCTCCAGAACCGTAAAGCCCACAAACTTGAAATTTGGCACTATGTTCCTCTTGGCTTCTAGGTGCTCATTAAGAAAGGATTTTTCGAAATGACCATCAGAGCATTAGTATTTTGTATATTATTATTAACACGCTCTGATGCTAAGGAGTTCTACTCTCCCTCCCCACCTGAAAAGAAATCTGTTCCAAATGCAAAACACAAGCAGAGGAGAGGAGTTTTAGTTTCACAGCATCAAGCAGCTTTAGTACAGAACAGTTGACCTAAGCCACACCCAAGCTCCTTGCTGTCTCCTTCTTGCTCACACAGCAAATACTGTTTCAGTTTCCAAACAGCCCTCAACTCTCTTACACACTGACAGGACACTAGCCAGATGAATACCAATGGATGCTGGTAGGCAGAGGCAGAATTCCCACCCACCCCTTATTTTCCTCCCCACAAACAAAGCCTGATCACATAGTTTTGTAGCGAAGCACAGGTATCCAGCTAGTAACTGAATAATTGGCAAGATTTGTAAATTCTGCAGAGGGTGTGTGGGATACATTGAAATGAATGGAAGGGACTCAGAAGTGGGTTAGCAATATTAATAAGGTAATTTGCTGGATCTGAAATATCAGCAAAAACATTGATGCTTTATCCAAGCCTTCCTTTGCTATTATTGAATTTTGCAAAATTGACAAATCGCTTTGCAGATGGCATTTGTTTTGTTTTGGGTTTGTTTGTTTTTTAAAAGTTAAGCTCTGAAAATGTAATCGTTTTTCCCCTCTCAAGCTGACGAAACATGCCATGAATTTCCGCCGCGTCTTCAAAGATCTCTCTGAAGAGGAGGACCTCCTGGAAAGTAAGTGATTCCTGCAGGATGCCATTCCCATCTCTGTGGTTCTTAAAGTCTCTCGCATCAGGAAACATGCTATACAGGTAGTCCTCGACTTATGACTACAGTTGGGACCAGATTTCCCAGTGCTGAGCCAGGCAGTTGCTTAAGGGAATCATGCCTGGTTTTATGCCCATTTTTTTGTCCATGGTTGTTAAGCAAATCACATGGTCATTAAGCAAGAGAAATTTTGTGGACTTCCCTCATTGACTTTGTTTGTTGGATGCTGGCTGAGAAGCTTGCAAGTGATGATCACGTGATCCCTGGACACTGCAATAAATGCTGGTTGCCAAGGGGTCAAATTTTGGTCATGGGACTGTGGCAATGCTAGGACTGTTATAAGTGCAAGGACCGATTATAAGTCACTTTTTTTCAATACCGTTGCTACTTTGAACAGTCACTAAACCAGGGGTCTGCAACCTGCGGCTCTGGAGCCACATGCGGCTCTTTTGGCCCTCTGTGTGGCTCCCTGTTGGCTGATCTCACCACTGACTGGCCCCTTCCCTCCCCGTCGCTCCTCGCCTGGCCTGAGAAGGTGAGGGTGATGGCAGGGGATGGAGACTTGCTCCATATTCCAGAGCGAGAGGTGAATGGGGTGAGAGTGAGTGATGTCGAGTTGGCCACGCCCACCCAGTCATACTTGGTTGTTAAAATTATTGGCTCCCAGTGTTTTCTTTTCTGTGGAAAACAGGTCCAAATGGCTCTTTGAGTGCTTAAGGTTGCAGACCCCTGCACTAAACAAATGATTGTAAGTCAAGGACTACCTGTAACTCATGATGGACTGACTGTCATTTCCTGTAATACCGGAAGTGACGAAACGGGCCTATAATCTGTCCTGAAAAGCCTTGCAGAGGCTTTTTCCAAGCCTCTGGGAGGCCGAAAAAGGCCTCAAACCAGCTGAGCTGAAAAATGAGCTGTGAGGTGCAGTGCAGGTAAGGGGGGGGATTGCACATGGATGCACAGGGGGCGTGGAGAGGGGGGCGCATTGCATTCTGGGTGTTGGCATGCAAGTGTATGCGTTTCATCCACTCTTCAGGGAACTTCATAGAACATGTTAAAAGGAAGACATGGGAGGTTCTCTTTTCCAAGTCTGCATTTGCAGTATTTTATTAGGCTTTTTGTTATTAGTGTGAACTGTGCGTCTCTCTCTCTCTCTCTCTCTCTCTCTCTGTTTTTTTTTGTACATTAACCCAGATTAAATCTTTCCCTACAGTAAGAATCTCAACCCTTTCAGGTAGTCAATACTGTTTTGTAGGCAGTAAAAAACAATCATACAAACTTTTTTTTAAAAAAAGAAAATGCATTGCTTGAGATCTCATTTTAGAACACAGCTCTCTCATAAGTTTTTAGCCTTTTTTAAAATTTTATAAGTTTTAAAGAGATAACACTTTAAAAAAAAGATTTAAAAAGAGCCGTGGTGGCACAGTGATTAGAATGAAGTATTAGAGTCTAACTCTGCCCACTGCCAGGAGTTCAATCCTGATCGGCTCAAGGTTGACTCAGCCTTTCATTCTTCCGAGGTCGGTAAAATGAGGTCACTGATTATTGGGGGAAATATGCTGACTCTGTAAACCGCTCAGGGAGGACTGTAAACACTATGGGGAGGTATATAAGTCTTAAGTGGCATTGCTAAATGCTATTGCTATATTTGCCTTTGGAAATCAACAGATGGAATTTAGTGATGTGGCAGGTGTAGCACACTGCCAATTCTCTCGTAATCGTTCTCATAGGCTTCCCACATCGGAATGATGGAAGATGTCTCCTTGTTCCTTCGCTCCTTATGTGGGATTTTTAAAATCAATCTTTTTTTTTATCCTAGCTACCAGTGGTGGGATTCAATTTTTTTTACTTCCGGTTCTGTGGGCATGGTGTGGTGGGTGTGGTGTGGTTTGGTGGGCGTGGCAGGAGAAGGATATACTGCAAAATCTCCACTTCCACTCCACTCCAGGGAGAAGGTTACTGCAAAATCCCCATTCCCTCCCCACCCCACTAACCTGCTTTCCAGCTCCGTTCTCCTGTGCAGGGCAACCAAAGAAGACCCAGCTGATCAGCTGGGACTTGGGAAGCAGAGAATAGATGGGTGCGGGGCCAGTCAGAGGTGATATTTGCCGGTTCTCCGAACTACTCAAAATTTCCACTACCGGCTCTCCAGAACTGGTCAGAACCTGCTGAATACCACCTCTGCTAGCTACCAATCCATTGGTGGAAATAGTGCCCATCCTTCTGTTGACTCATTGTTTGTGTCCCAAAAGTAAAAACATATTGTACATTACAAGACATGGAAGACACAATTCATTTTAAGAAAGCAGTTAGGGGAGAGAATGGAAATTCGAGCTAGAAGTACTGGGTGGTGCCCGTGTCATGGATTTTATGAGTGAAGCAGTCATCACACTGATGGGATATAATGTCCTGGTAGATTCCCTCCCCAGGCTAGGGCAGCTTCTAATGTTCCTGATGTTCCGCCCACGATCCTCATTCATCCTTAATTCCTCATCTTGATTCACAGCATTTTCATGTGCCTGGCAACGAGAGATGCCTTATTATGGCCGCCTCTACGTCAAGAACAGTCATATCTGCTTCTACTGTAGCGTGCTTCGACGGGAAGTTAAGGTAGGGTTTCCTGGGCTTTAGCAGATTAACCATAGTAGCACTGTTTAAAATGTTAAGCTAATACAAGTGGTCCAGTGGTGGGAATCAATTTTTTTTTACTACCGGTTCTGTGGGCGTTGCTTGGTGGGCATGACAGGGGAAGGATACTGTAAAATCCGCATTCCCTCCCCACCCCACCAACCTGCTTTCCAGCTCCGTTCTCCTGTGCAGGGCAACTAAAGAAGACTCAGCCAATCAGCTGGGATTCAGGAGGCAGAGAATAGATGGGGGCGGGGCCAGCCAGAGGTGGTATTCGCTGGTTCTCCAAACTGCTCAAAATTTCCACTACCGGTTCTCCAGAACCTGTCAGAACCTGCTGAATACCACCTCCGAAGTAGTCTTAGATTTGCAGCCATTCGAATTTACAACGGCCCTGAAAAAAGTGACTTGCAACCAGACCCCTCACCCTTGCCACCATCCAAGCGTCCCCATGATCACATTGGTATCCAAATTCGGGCTCTTGGCAACCTGCACGTACAGGTAGTCCTCAACTTACAGCAGTTCATTTAGTGACCATTCGAAGTTACAACGGCACTGAAAGAAGTGACTTACGGCCGGTTTTCACACTGACGACCATTGCAGTATCTCCAGGGTTAGGTGATCAAAATCTGGATGCTTGGCAACTGGCATGTATTTATGACAGCTGCAGTGTCCTGGGGGTCATGTTTTGCGATCCTTTTGCAACCTTCTGGCAAAGTCAATGGGGAAGCCAGACTCATTTCACACAACGGTGTGACTAACTTAATTACCACAGTGATTCTTGCTGCAGTGGCAAGAAGAATCATAAAATGGGGGCAAAACAAATGTCTCATTTAACAATGGAAATCAGGCTCAATTAGGGTCATAAGTCGAGGACTTCCTGTATTTACGACAGTTCCAGCATCCTGAGGTCACATGATCACCATTTGCAACCACTTCAGCCAATCACTGACAAGCAGAGTTATCTTCTTCAAGATTCATCCAGCCCTAGACAGACTTGAGGGGCAGATGTGATCCTAGCTCCCACTCCAACCAGGGATGGGATTCTACCAGTTCAAACCGGTTCAGACGAACCAGATGTTTGTCAGGATTCTGGTAGTCACCCCCATTTAAATCGTGAATCGCGAGCCAAACTTCCAAAACTTAACAAGGATTTATTGGGAGTTAACATGCCGGCACTGCCTGGGTTTAACTGACTCTGAGGCATACCATTCATTGTCACCCTTGACCCTGGTTTTCCCTCCACCCCCTGGGTGTATCGTAGTTCATATTCTCCAGTGGGACACATCCATAGCCAAGAGTCATCAATCATGCTCTCCAGTTAGAATTTTGCCAGGCAGAAACTTCTGTCACCTAGTTACTATCTTTGAAAACATTTGTGGAATGCACTTTCAGTTTTGCAAGCGGCTGCACTGCTCCCCGCTCCCTTTCTGTTGGCAACTCTAAAAAGACCAGAGAAATATTTTATGCGTTGACAATGTTAAAGTTTTCATCTGGTTTGCCCAACCGGTATTTCATCTGACCAGATGGCCCGGCCTACCCCTCCTCTCCCAGGAGTCTTCATGTGGCCCATTTTCGATGTACACGCGGAGGCTCTGGGAGGAGGAAAAACGGGCCTTCCGGAAGTCCAGAAACGGGCCTGTTTCTGGCTTCCGGTGGGCCTCCGGAGCCTGGGGGAGGCCATTTTCACCCTCCCAGAGGGCCGGGGGAAGCCTCCGGATCCTTGAGAAAGCAAAAAAAAAATGCCCTCCCGGAAGTTCCCAGAGGCCACGTTCACCATGGCCATGGGCAGCGAACTGGTTGCTGGATTTTTGAATCCCACCCCTGACTCCAACCCTTTTCACCTCTTTACTATGCAGGCTCTCTGCTTAGTCACAATGGCTTTCTGCCGTGTATAAAGGGTACAGTTGAGCCCCAAAAATTTCTGTTGTTAAGCAAGACAGTTGCCCCCATTTTGCGACTTTTCTTGCCCCAGTTGTTCAGGTGATCAATCCCTACAGTTATGAAGTTAGTAACCCGGTTGCTAACTGAATCTGGCTTCCCCATTGACTTTGCTTGTCGGAAGGTCGCAAAATGGGGATCATGTGACTCAGCAACATTGCAACCGTCATAAAGATGAGCCAGTTGCCAAGTGTCTGAATTTTGATCACCTGACCACAGAGATGCTGCAAAGGTTGTAAGTGTGAAAAACTTTACAGTCCCTTTTCCCCCCCGTGCTGTTGTAACTTTGAACGGTCACTAAATGAATGGATGTAAGTCGAGGACTGCCTGTAAACCGATTCATAGTCATTTCCCCCCAGTGTCTCATCAGGAACAATGAAGAGCCGATCCATGCCTCTGACTCTCTCTCTGTCCCACCATTTTCTCCGGGCAGGTTATCATTCCGGTGCTGAAAATCAGTGTCCTAAAGAAGGCCAACACAGCCTTGTTGGTACCCAACGCCATTTCCATCCGTACGACTGAAGGGGAGAAGGTAGGAAAAAACCTTAGTCGCAAAGATTACCTTGTCTGAATGGTAAAGCTAAAGACCAGACGAACTGAGTGACAGTTCTGGGTCAGGCCTTCTTTGGAAGACAAAATTCAGTGTTGTCTAGTCTTGGACTACAAGTTGCTGAGACCCCGGAAATGGTTTCATCCCAGTTCAGACTATTTCCGTCAGGGCCTGTTGCATAAAACCGACAATCTCTCTCCTCATCAGGAAGCAAAGTGTGTCTGGTATGTGTGGCTTAGAAATAAAAATAAAATAAAATGGCAATTAGGAAAAGAATGAGGAATATGTAAATTTGTAAATATGCCATAGAGAAGATTGATGTGTAAGGATAAAAGATACTGATTTAGATAACAGATAATCAGAGTTGGAAGGGACCTTGTAGGTCATCTAGTCCAACCCCCTGCCCAAGTGGGAGATCCTACACCATTTCTGACAAATGGCAGTCCAATCTCTTCTCGAAAGTCTCAAATGATGGCGCTCCAACAACTTCTGAGGGCAAGGTGTTCCATTGGTTGATTGTTCTCACTATCAGAAAGTTTCTCCTTATTTCCAGGTTAAATCTCTCCTTGTTCAGTTTCCATCCATTATTCCTTGTCTGGCCTACAGGCGCTTTAGAAAATAGATTGAACCCTTCCTCTCTGTGGCAGCCCCTCAAATATTGGAAGACTGCTATCGTGTCTCCCCTGGTCCTTCTCTTTACTAGACTAGCCAAGCCCAGTTCCTGCAACCGTTCGTTGTATGTTTTAGCCTCCAGTCCCCTGATCATCCTGCTTGCTCTTCTCTGTACTTTTTCTAGAGTCTCAACATCTTTTTTATAATATGGTGAACAGAACTGGATGCAGTACTCTAAGTGTGGTCTTACTAAGGTTTTATAGAGTGGTATTAGTACCTCCCTTGAACTTGAGTGTATCCCTCTGTTAATACATTTATTAATTTATTATTAATGATTTATAGCAAGAGTAAGATGTAATGGTAATGGAATAAATAACTACATATATTGAAAAATGTAAGGGGATGTAAAAGATGTCTTGATGTTGACAACAATGTATAAAGTTTTATTTTATGTTTTTAAAATTTGAAAACTTAATAAAAAATTTTTTTTTAAAAAAAGCAAGCAAGGTGTGTTCTTTCTGACTGAATTTGCTTGTTTGCTACAATGTCCTGTTTGTCCTCTGCTCTCTATTGCAGTTTCTGTTTGGCTCCATCTGGTCACGGGAGAATGCCTACCAGCTCCTCCGCTCTGTTTGTAAACATCTTGAGGTAATTAAGCTCCAGACTGGAAATGTTGCTGCATAGCTGTCCCAGATTATTTTTGCAATCCTCCCCCATCCATCTCCACCCATCTAATCTCAATAGGCTCAGGGCAGTCAAGTGTGGCTTAATTGACTTCCTGCACCATCATCACAAGGTGTTAGAATCAAAATCAGAATAGAGTTGGAAGGGACCTTGGAGATCTTCCAGTCCAACCCCCTGCTCAAGTAGGAGACCCTATATAGGGCTGGGATTCTCCAGGTTTAACAGCCGGATCGGTGATTGCACATGGGGAGGCTCCTTTCTTGTCCCTACGCAGTTGATTCGCCCACAGGAAATTGAGCTGCCAACCTCAGTGGTGCGTAGGCCCAGCGTCTTACCACATGAGCCACCATGGCCCCTGAGGACTACCTGTAATTCACACAAAGATGCTTGTCATGATTTTTGCCTTGGTTTTCAAAATTATTAGGCAGTCTTGGATACTGTAAAGTGAGATTGTAAACTTTTTTAATACCCCAAGAAGTAAAATCAACGGTTGTTTCTGATATCTCAGCTCCACTCTGTTAGACCAGACTACTCTTTCAATAGAATAGGGATAGGGATAGGGATAGGGATAGGGATAAGAATAGAATAGAATAGAATAGAATAGAATAGAATAGAATAGAATAGAATAGAATAGAATAACAGAGTTGGAAGGGACCTTGGAGGTCTTCTAGTCCAACCCCCTGCTTAGGCAGGAAACCCTATACCATTTCAGACAAATGGTTGTCCAATCTCTTCTTAAAAACTTCAGTGTTGGAGCATTTACAACTTCTGGAGGCAAGTTGTTCCACTTATTCATTATTCTAGAGAATAGAGTAGAGTAGAGTAGAGTAGAGTAGAGTAGAACAGAACAGAACAGAACAGAACAGAACAGAACAGAACAGAATTGGAAGGGATCTTGGAGATCTTCTAGTCCATCCCCCTGCTCAAGCAGGAAACCAGTGGTAGCTAACCTTTTTGGGCTCCTGTGCCAAAAGTTGCGCGCACGCACTTGTGTGCCAACACCCAGAATGCAATGTGCCCCCCTCCCCACACCCCCTGCGCATGCATGCGCATTCCCCCCCTTTCCTGCACTGCGCCTCATAGCTGCTTTTTCAACTGGTTTGAGGTCTTTTTCAGCCTCCCAGAGAGTTGGAAAACGCCTCTGCAAAGCTTTTCAGGTCGAATTATAGGCCCATTTTGTCACTTCCGGTATTACAGGGAGGCCAAAAAAGGCTTCAAACCAACTGAAAAAAAAAATCAGCGGTGAGGCGCACGCATGTGCAGTGAGGTAAGTTTGCCTGCGGCTCGCGTGCCAGCACAAATGGGTCTGCATGCCACTTGTGGCACCTATGCCATAGGTTCGCCATCACGGCCCTATACCTTTTCTGACCAGTGGTTATCCAGTCTCTTCTTTAAAACTTCCAGCGTTGGAGCATTTACAACTTCTGGAGGCAATTTGTCCCACAGATTAATTGTTCTAACTGTCAGAAAATAATCTTCTTTCTCTTTGGTTGCTTCTAGGACAGCAGTCAGAATAGCAGTCCAACTGCACCTTTCATCAGCTCAGACCATCTCCTGAAGGTACCCCTGGTATGTATGTTCAAGTCACAAATAATATAAACATCCTCTTTCACACATTTATATTATTAGGATATAAATGGTTAGACTTTGTGTAAATCAGGAATGCAGAACCATTCTTTCAAGGGCCACATTGCTTCTAAATTATCTTGAAAAGCCTGCCTGGGCTACAAAAATCTAAGTGGCCATGAGGAGGCAGCAAAGTGTTCAAATATTTTTTTTTCCTACTTCTTTGCTTCCCTCTCTAGTTGTATCAGTTCTTGCAGCCCATATTTGATATAACCCCATGGCTCATGTATAGTACAGGTAGTCCTCAACTTACCACCGTAATGGAGCCTGCCCATCAAGGTTGTAAATCGTGACGGTCATAAAATGTGACCTATGTGACTGACTTGATTTTATGACCTTGTTTGTGGCAGTCGTTAAGTAAATCCTTAAATAAAGAATATGGTAGTAACAAGATCTCAGCTTTTTACTTTGCTATAATAATATAAACTAGCCATTTCTATAACATCATAGAACAGTGGTGGCTAACCTTTTGGGGCTCCTGTGCCAAAAACTGTGCATACGCTTGCACGCTCGCACTCGCGTGGCAGCACCCAGAAGGCAATGTGCACCTCCCCACACCCCTACACATACACGCGCAATGCCCCCCCCGCCTCAGCTGTGATCTCACAGCTGCGCCTCACAGCTGATTTTCGGTGGGTTTGAGGCCTTTTTCGGCTTCCCAAAGGCTTGAGGAAGGCTTCTGCAGGCCGAAAACTAGGCCTGTTCATCACTTCCGGTATGTTCGGAAAAACAGGAAGTGACAAAACAGGGCTAGTTTTCAGCCTGCAAAGCTTGCAGACGCCTGAAGAAGCTTTCCTCAAGCCTTTGGGAGGCCGAAAAAGGCCTCAAATCCACCAAAAATCAGCTGTGAGGTGCACACATGCGCAGTGAGGTAAGTTTGCCTGCAGCTCGCGTGCCGGCACAAATGGCTCCGTGTGCCACAGGTTCGCCATCACAGTCATAGAACATAGAACAACAGAGTTAGAAGGTACCTTGGAGGTCATCTAGTCCAACCCCCTGCTCGAGCAGGAGAGTCTATTCCAAATATTAGCCGCCTTCTAGGATCAAAATCACAGCCTCCTGATTGTGAGGCGAGAGCTCCACCTCTAGGTCACGGCACTGGACACTGGGCATCAAACCTATCTAATCTGCAAAACCCAAAATCAACATTTCATTTTTTTCCACCACAAGTACAGAGTCCAAAAGCAGTTTCCAAGTAGAAACAAAACTAGTTGTGTTATTTAATCAAAGCAGTCAATTTGGCTATCTTCGCTAACTCTTTATCAGGTTATAAATACCTCCAAGGACCTGAAGAAGCTTCTTGGATGAGAAGCGAAACATCTTCAAAGAAAAACCAGAAAGTTCAGTTGCCTCTTGAAAAAGCACCTTTGGAGTACCCCCAAGGAGGTTCATTTTAACTTTGAATGGTTGCTAAGTGACCTATCACAAATTGAGGATTAGATATTCCTAGTACAGTCCAATCTTTCAGCGAAAAGCTTCTGGATTATTCTGAACACTCTAAAAAATGTCTTCCCCCAACCAATCCTCATTTCTTCTTTCTTTGTAGAACTCTAAGGAATCAGATGCAAATTACAACTTTCCAGAAAAAACAGGTGAGAAGCAAAACATCTTCAAGAAAAAAGCAAGTCCAGTTGCCTTTTGAAAAAGTATCTTTGGGATAACCGTGACCTGGATGACTGAAAATCTGCATAGACACTAAAATTCAAAGGCACCACTGTTCTCTTTAGTCTGCTTCTTCGGAGTCCAACTTTTGCTTCCATAGATTGTCACAGGGAAAGCAGTATAATTCCGATCTTTGTACACATATCGTAGCATCTGAATGGTCTTTTCCAAGCCCTTCATGGCTATCCTACCAAATGCTAATCTGTGGCAAATTTGGTCAACACACTATAAAAAAGATGTTGAGACTCTAGAAAAAGTACAGAGAAGAGCAACCAGGATGATTAAGGAGACTAAAACATATGAAGAACGGTTACAGGAACTGGGCATGGCTAGTCTGGTGAAGAGAAAGACCAGGGGAGACACGATAGCAGTGTTCTAATATTTGAGGGGCTGCCACAGAGAGGAAGGGGGTCAAGCTATTTTCCAAAGCACCTGAAGGCCAGACAAAGAATAATGGATGGAAACTGAACAAGGAGAGATTTAACCTGGAAATAAGGAGAAATTTTCTGACGGTGAGAAATATCAACCAATGGAACAGATGTTGCCTTCAGAAGTTTTGGGAGCTTCATCACTGGAGGCTTTCAAGAAGAGATTGGACTGCCATTTGTCAGAAATGGTGTAGGGTCTCCTGCTTGGGTGGAGGTGACTGGACTAGATGACCTACAAGGTCCCTTCCAACTCTGTTAATCTGTTCCTTTACTGCTGATCAGTGATTCTGAAAAACTCAAAACTACCCACCACTTTCATTGCCAATTCTCAGGCTGTGTGCTGACTGGTACTTGGGTTTGCTTCTTATTTAACAGATGTGGCAGACAGGATCCAGATACCCTATGAAACCTCTTACGAGGAGCAACAGCAGGTGACAAAACAGCAAAGTAAGTAACCAATTCTTTTCAGTTTTGAGAATTGTGGATGGGCAAAACTGGTCTGGATTTCTCAGTACAGTGGACAATATTTGGGAAGTAGAGAGAATGTTCCTTTTTTAAAAAAAAAACCTGCCTTCAAGAGCCACAGAGGGTATACTCATGGCTAAATGATAGGGGTGGGCTAAATTGGGGGCAAAGTCAAAAGAAATTTACTAGAAGAAATTCTAATAAATCAGGTTGCATGGGACTAATAAAGACGGAAGATGCCTATTTTAGCTTGTATTTTAAAACAAAAAGATTGCCCCACTGAAAATCAGTGGTTTGCTACAGAATTTCAGCCGCAGATCTTGGGACATGCAGTGCTGTAAAAAATGCATCCCGGCTGCCATCAATTGAACAAGTTTCTCCCAACTGAACAGTAATAACAATGGAGGGGAAATACCAACTGCCTTTAGATTAGTAATAGCAGAAGATCTGCAAACTGGAGTAATTCTGTAGATATACGTAGTCCTTGACTTATGACCAGAATTGGGACCAAAATTTCCATTGCTAAGCAAGGTGGTTGTTAAATGAGCCATGCTTGATTTTACAACCTTTTTGCCACAGTTAAGCAAATCAGTGCAATTGTTAAGTGAATGATGAAGTCATTAAGTGAATCTGGTGTCAGGGCTCCGACAATCCACCCCTATTCGAATCATGAGTCTCTAGCCGCATCTCTCAAAAAATAATTTATTAGGAGTGAGCTTGTCGGCATTACCTGTGTGCAGCCGACACTGAGACACAACATTCATCTCACCCTTGACCCTGGTCTTCCCCCCACCCCTGGATGTATATTCTCCAGTGGGACACATCCATAGCCAAGAGTCATCAATCATGCTCCCCAGTAATAATCTTGCGTGCCAGAAGCTTCAGCCACCTAGCAATTATCTAAGGTATGCATTACTCCCCCCCCCCACTCCCTTTCTGCTGACAACTCTAAAAAACAAGATAAATATTTTTGACTGGACATCTGGCTTGTCTCGTTGGTTTTGTTTATCAGAGCTGGCTGGGAAGGTCACAAGTATAAAGATCACAGGGCCCAGGAGGCTGCAACCATTGTAAATACATGCTGGTGCCAAGCACATAAATTTTGATCACATGACCGTGGGAACCAATGGTGCGATTCAAATAATTTAACAACCAGTTCGCCCAGGCTCAGGTTGGCTGTCATGGGAGGCATGTCCCATCCCTGTCCTCCAACCTCCTCTGCACATGTGGGACAAGCCTCCCACCATGGCCAACCTGACCCTGGGTGAACCGGTTGTTAAATTTCCCACCTCATCCCATTATCAAATCAAATCAAACGTTTATTGTCAATGCACAACATGCGTACAATGAAATTGAAAGTGGATGCTGGGTGCTGTGCTGCGCTGCAATGGAGAAACAGGAAACGGAACAGTCGGCACGAGGGAAGGAGGAGGAGCAGGGAGAAGAAAGAGGGAAAGCGGCCTTCTTCTTCCCTCGCAAACGGCCTTTGCCCATTTCTCCATTACAGTGCAGCCAACACCCAGGATCAGGGGTGGGATTCTACCAGTTCGCACCTATTCGCTAGAACCGGTTGTTAACATTCTGAGCAGTTCGGAGAACCGGTTGTTAGAAGAAATTACTGGCCTAATCCTGTAAGGAAGGCAGGAAGGAAACATTCTGGTGTTGCTTACAGAAACTGTCTCTCCGTTAACCCTTATTACATTCTTGGCAGGACTAGACTTCCTGTCTCTGGAACTTCTCTGGAGTTTTTTCCCCTTCCTTTGCTGGTACTTTGCTTGTGTGGAGTGACCATTCAAAGTTACAATTGCACTGAAAAAAGTGACATGACCATTTTTCACACTTACTGTTGCAGCATCTCCACAGTCATGAGAGGCCAGGCGAGGAGATGCGTGCCTCAATGTGAGTGATGTTGAGTTGGCCACGCCCAGCCAATAACATGACCACCAAGCCACGTCCACCCAGTCACATGACCACCAAGCCATGCCCACCAACTAAGCCATGCCCACAAAACTGGTTGTTAAAAAATTTGAATCCCACCCCTGCAGAGGATCCACTTTGATAGCGCCGGGGGGGGGGGGGGGATTTAACAGCTGGTTTGCCCAAAGTGGTGCAAACCAGCTGAATCCCACCCCTGGTGGAAACACAACCATGGTCATAAGTCCCTTTTTTCAGGGCTGTTGTAACTTTGAACGGTGGCTTAACAAATGGTTGTTACTTGAGGACTACTTGCATGCGTTGGTCAATTAATTCCCCTTTTGGTATTTAGCTCTATTCCTTGAGGTGCTGTTTGCAAACTGAGTAAAATTTCCCAATCATCCTGGTGTTGCTGTTGTTTTAATAAACAAGGATCTGGTTATCTTTGTCTCCATCTTGTAATGAACCGTGTTTAACTTTTTTTTGGCAGAGGCAGGGCAGACAATGAAGTCAGTAGGAAACCGGAGGATGCCACTGTGCCGTTTCAACACAATTATAATCATCTACCTCTTTTTGTGAGTGAACCTTAAAACCCTGCTGTTTGAAGGGGCTATCGAGGCCATCCAATCCAACCTTGATTTCTTGGTGCAGAAATCCAAATTTTCAGATAGAAAACTGCCTTAACTTCTTTCTGAACATCCAGCAAAGAAAAGCTCCCCACCTTATGGCTTAATTGGTTCAACTGTTGAACTGTTATACAACTAGGCAGAAGTTAGCTGGAATCTGTTTCTCTGCTATTTAAAGCGAGCCTCTGGAATGCTAGGAACAGATTTCCCGACAATCCGATTTTTATTTTTTAAAATATATGAATTGTGGGTAAAGGAATGAAGGAAAATGGTTCAATTTTTTTTTTATGCCACTCTTTTCACTATTGCAGTGACTGGACAGCTTTAAAAGGTTTTTTTTAAAAAAAGGAATGCAACATGATTAAAATGAAGAAAATTAAATAGAAGACTAAAACCCAATTTGCTCTGATGACTGTTATTCAAACTATTTTAGAGTCTGGCTCTTGTAGCTCTTTAGTACTACACTACAGCTTTCAGGGCTAAACTAGGAATAGTCTCAGATGTTACTTCTTTTCCCAATGCTGACTTTTGAACAAGCTTCGTTTGCGTCTCCCATAGGGTCATTCTCCTACTTTGTTCTTCGGGGTACATTGGTCTGCGTATCATCCAGCTGGAAGAACAGCTGACTTCCATGGGGGCTTGGCCTGAACTGGACCTTCAGCATCAGTGAGTGTTTTGTTTCTTAATATGTACAGAGTTAGACAATATTGTATACACAGCAACGGTCCCCCAACCTTCCTGGCTCCACGGACTGGCAGCAGAGGCAATAGTGACAGAATCAGAATAGAGCTGGAAGGGACCTTGGAGGTCTTCTAGTCCAGCCCCCTGCTCAAGCAGGAGAACCTAGTGCTATTTCAGATAAGTGACTGTCTAGAATCTTCTTAAAATCCTCCGGTGTTGGAGCGTCCACGATTTCTGGAGGCAAGCTGTTCCACTGGTTAATTGTCCTCACTGTTGGGAGTTTCTCCTCAATTCCAGGTTGCTTCTCTCCTTGATTAGTTTCCATCCATTGTTTCTTCTCCTGCCTTCTGGTACTTTGGAAAATAAATTGACTCCCTCTTCTTTGTGGCAGCCTCTCAAATACTGGAATATTACTATCATGTCCCCACTAGTCCTTCTTTTTTCTGGACTAACCAAATGCAAATCCTGCAGTCGTTCTTATGTTTCAGTCTCCAGGCCTTTAATCGTCTTAGTTGCTCTTCTTTACACGTTTTCCAAAGTCTCAACATCTTTTTGGTAATGCGGTGACCAAAGCTGGATGCAATATTCCAAATGTGGTCTTACTAAGGCTTTATAAAGTGGTACTAATTCTTTACGTGATTGGGATTCTATCCCTTTGTTCAGTGATGGCTAACCTTTTCAGCTTGGTGTGTCGAAAATCGGGAAAAAGTGTAGCCTTCCTCGGGTCGTGTGTCACTTCAAGAAATATCAATAATTTGGTTTATGACGGACTGGGCTGGGGTGATCACACAGGGCTGTGAAACTCGTCTCCCTGGTCTCAGGGCTGCAGGTGCAGGATGTGGGGATCGGAAGGCCACCTTACAGGGCTGTGAACCTCATGGATCTCCTTTCCTCCTGTAGCGTTCCTGAGGTAATGAAACTGACAAACCTCAGTTTATGGCGGTTAAAACTGGTTCTCTGCTGCAAAGATCTTGCGGCAGCGGTGACACCACGCCTCCACGCAACAAGCAGGGAGCAGGGATTGGAGCAGAGCACAGGCAGCCTCTAAATGTGCAGGTTTTCCCCACACCAACAGGCGTGTCAGTCAAAGTGCCTCGGCGTGTCACAAGTGACACGTGTGTCATAGGTTAGCCATCACTGCCTTTGTTTATAAACCAAGGATTGTATTAGCTTTTTTGGCGGCGGCTGCACATTGCTGGCTCATATTCAAGTGAACATCCACTAGGACGCTAAGGTCCTTCTTGATCTCCACGGTCCTCAGGGAGGGGATGGTTTCACGCGTGCAACCTAGATCCCACGCATGCACAGATGAAGCTTTGTGCACTCACCTGCCGCACGCATGGCCCGGTTCCCAACAGACTATGGAGCGGTACCGGTCCACGGACCAGGGGTTGGGAACCTCCAATATACCTCAGAGTAAAATTCTGACTAGTGACTAAAAAACACTAGTATAGTCTCAAAAAATGGAATGAAGCTGATCATGTATCTAATACAAAAATACCATAGAAGGACTGTTCACTGTTCCAAACATTCCTTAAAATGGCCAAGTTGATACAGTGATTAAGGTATAAGGCTGGAATTTGGGAGACCGTAAGTTCTAGTCATGAATGGGTATGGAAACCAGTTGGGTGACCTTGAGCCAGTCCTTCTCTCTCAGCCCCAGGAAGGTAGCAATGGCAAATAACTTCTAAAATTGTAGGGACCAGTCCATGCAGTTGCCGGGAGTCAACACTGCTTCAAAGGCATCCCTCCCTCCCAGAGTTTTCAGAGATAATCTACTCCAGCCCATGTTTGATATAGAATCTGCTAAACCTTCATGCTACAGGTGGTACACGATTTACAACTGATAGTTTAATTATTGTTCAAAGTTAACAGTGGGCTTTAATGAAAGCTGCTTATAATTTGTCCTTGAAGTTATGACTGCCCCTCCCCATGGTCATATGATCACATTTTGGAAACTTGGATCCTGTTCATATTTATGACCAACTGCAGCATTCCATAGATATTTGACTGGGATTTGCGAATCGCAGAAAGCAGCACAAATCCATTGGATATGCTGGATTCACTTAATGACCACATGATTTGTTTAGCAACTATGTGATCCAATATATGATCATAGTGACTTACTTTATGACCTTCCTAAAACCGGTTGTAAAATTGTACCTCAGCTTACAATCGCAACAACCTATTGCCGAAATTCTACTTTACATTATGGTTGTAAGTTGCAATTCTAACCTTTGTTTGAGGACCTCCAGATTAGAGGAACATATCCTCTGCTATTGGATACTTGAACAGAACAGAATAAGAGAGTTGGTAGGACCTTGGAAGTCTTCTAGTCCAAGCAGGAGACCCTATACCATTTCAGACATATGGCTGTCCAACCTCTGTAAAAACTATAGCAATGGAGCTTCCGCAACTTCTGGAGGCAAGTTGTTCCACTGGTTAATAGTTCTCCTTAGATCTAGGTTGCTTTTGATTAGATTAGTTGACTTTTTCCTTTTAGAATAGAATAGAATTTTTTTATTGGTCAAACAAGCTACAAATAATGATCATAATCATAAATACATTCATCATCAATCATAAGATACAACTTTCCAACATTTCTCCCAATTAAATTTCACCCTGTTCATTTTGTCCCACGGTTCAATCCTGTGTAGATCTTTCTGAACCTTCTAAAGTGGCAGACACTCCTAGTTTTGTGTCATCCCTAAATAATCATCCACTTAATCCCATTATTCAGATCATTAGCAAATACGTTGGAAGCTAAAACAGAGTCCTGTGGCATCTCTCTTAACTGGTTTCCAATCTGATGTGGAAGCATTTGTACCGACTCTCTGGGTGTGGTCATTAGCCAGTTGTGAATCACTAGGAGCCTCTAGCCTACATTTTACCATTTTATTCATCAAAGCATCATGAGACACTTCGTTAAATGCTTTGCTGAAATCAAGGTACTCTGTGCCCAGAGCATTCTCCCTAGTAAGCTAATACTACCGTATTTATCGGCGTATAACACGCACTTTTTTCCCCCTGAAAATAGGGGGCAAATGATGTATGCGTGTTATACGCCGATATAATGTTAAGAAGCCTTCGGTGAATGCTGCTGGGATCGGGGATCAAGGACACAAATGAAAGAAGGGGAGGGAGGAAGCAACCGAAGCCTGTCCTTCTCTCTGGGTCAGCTCTGTCAGTCGCTCTCTCGCTCCTCCACCAGCACAGGAAGAAACTGCTTCAAAGAAGCGGGGGGGGGGGGGCTTCCCTGAAGCGCCCGTTTCTCCCCCACCCCGCCCGCCCGCCCGCCCGCAGTGCTCCGTTCTGCCTGCCTGCCTGCCTTCGTTAATGGTTGAATCGGAACAGCTTCGGCTGAGTAAAAGAGGCGAATAGTTATTATTCTCAGCCGAAGCTGCTCCCAAACAACCAGAAACTAAGGCAGGCAGGCAGGCAGGCAGAATGGGACACTGTGGATTGAAGCGCGCGCGGGGGGTGGGAGTGGGGGTGAAACGGGCGCTTTCCTGAAATTTCCCTCTTAAAATGAAGATGCGTGTTATACGCCTGTGCGTGTTATACGCCGATAAATACGGTATTTCAAAAAGGGAGATAAGATTAATCGGGCATAATTTGTTTGTGACAAACTCATGCTGGCCCTTGCTAATTGCTGAGCTCCTTTACATATGTTCACAAGTATCACCGTCTAGTGTAGACATCCAATCTACTGGCCTATAATTTCCCAAATCATCCATCTTCTCTGGTTTGAAGCCAGGAACAACTTTTGTGCTCTTCTAGCCTTCTGGCAGGTGCCAATTTATCAGAATTTACAGCTGTCAGTCCAGTGATTTACCTTCAACAGATCCTTCAATACCCGCCTAGACAATGTTTGTTGATACACGGGATGATTCTCAGTTTCTGGACTTGTGTGTACAGGTAGTCCTTGATTTACGGTTCATTATTGAGCCCAATATTTCTGTTGCTAAGTGAGATGGTTGTTAAGTGAGTTTTGCCCAGTGGAGGGATTCAAATTTTTTTTTACTACCGGTTCTGTGGGCGTGGCTTTATGGGCGTAGCAGGGGACATGATCTGGAATAATGTCAGGTTTCCAAGTGACAAAATCCATTTTAAAAGAAAAAAGCAAAGTTTATTTTCCAAGAAAATTTCTTTTATTTAGGAAAGCATCAAACTGGCAAAGTCCGTGATAATTCCGGATCTGACACAACCCCTAGAAGTCACATTCTCCAACAGAAGTAATTCAATGTTGCTTGATGTCATAAATCTCCACCTCAAGGGGCCTAAGCACAGTCAGTTCGTTTTCCCACGGGAAGAAGAATCACCTAGCCTAAACAACTCTCTTTATCTCCACTCCTCCCCACTTAGGAATGTGGCAAGCCCAAAACCCTTCCCCCATGACCGCCAAAGAGAAAGTAAGAAAAAGAATATATACTAAGCCTAACTAAAATGGCTACACATATGTCCATTTCGGGCTTGACAGATACTGTAAAATATCCAGCCAGAGGGTTGGTGTTTGCCAGTTCTCCAAACTACTCAAAATTTCCACTACTGGTTCTCCAGAACTGGTCAGAACCTTTTGAATACCACTTCTAGTTTTGCCTCATTTTACGACCATTCTTGCCACAGTTGTTTAGTGAATCCCTGCAGTTGTTAAGTTAGTCACATGGTTGTTTAGGTGAATCTGCCTTCTTCATTGACTTTGCTTGTCAGAAGGTCGCAAAAGGTGATCACATGACCAGGGACACTGCAACAGTCCCCCCCCCCCAAAAAAACCGCCAGTTGCCGAGCATTTTGAATTTTAATCACATGACCACGGGAGTTGCTGCAACAGTTCTAAGTGTGAAAAAACCATCATAAGTCACATTTGTAAAATTTGTAATTTCAAACGGTCACTAAACCAATGGTTGTATCGTCCACGATCCCAGAAGCCATTCTGAGATAGCTCCTTGGGTTACTAGAAAGACGCTGCTACTGCTTGCTATCCA